GGAAGGAAGGAAGGAAGGAAGGAAGGAAGGAAGGAAGGAAGGAAGGAAGCGTCATCCTCAACATCAGGCATGGTGGCAGATGCACTTGGGAGGCTGAAGTAGGTGGATTTACATAGTCCAAGAGATTCAGGGCTACATAGAAATCTGCCCCCCCCCCCCAAATCCCCTTCAAATTCAGATGCAAGCATCTTGAGATGACCGGGTCATGTTTAAAGGGTTGCACTTATACTGGCCACAGTATAAACAGCAAAGCCCTTACCTGGCCAGGCACTGCAGAGTCGGCCATGGCATAGCACGAGTTTACCCATGAAGCAGGCCATACAGCTCTCCTGACTTTCTTGAGCAGTGAGCTAAGAGGAAAGCGCGCCTCACTGTCCCCCCGTGCTGGCCTCTCCCGCTCTTCTCCAGCAATACTCTGGCATCCTAAGGGTCACAAAGTCTCATTCCACTTGCCAAGTTTTCTAAAGACACTTAAAAGTTGTGCAGAATCTCTGGCCGCTGCTTTGTTTCCTGCCACACGGGGACCCCAGTGCCTCCTGCATGCCAGGCAAACACCCCATCACTGAGGTGCATTCCCAGCATGGTGGAATTCTTTTAGGAATAACGGCTTCAACAGCAGCCCCTTGCCCGCTCTCTTCCATTGCAATCTAGCCCAGCTGCTGTGATGTGAGCACACACGCCTTTGGATTAGCAGCCCACTCTCCGTGAAGCAGCAAAGGCAGCATCACACAGCAGCTGACAGCTTGTGCTGTTGCTCCATGAGCAGGTAAGCCTGCCAGAAAGACCATGGGGTGGAGAGGACAAGCAGACAACCAAGCCACGCATTCAGATGTCTTCTAAACACACAGTTTAGGAATACTTTTCTAGGGGACTGGAGAGATGACTCAGAGGTTAAGAGCACTGGCTGCTCTTCCAGAGGTCCTGAATTCAATTCCCAGCAACCACAAGGTGGCTCACAGCCATCTGTAAAGAAAGCTGGTGCCCTCTTCTGGCCTGCAGGTGTACATGCAGGCAGAATATTGTATAGATAATAAATCTTTAAAAAAAAAAAAAAAAAAAAGAATACATTTCTAACCTGGCGTGGTGGCACATGCCTGTAATCCCAGCATTCTGGTGGCAGAGGCAGGAGGATCTCTGTGAGTTCAAGGCCAGCCTGGTCTACAAAACGAGTCCAGGACAGCCAAGACTACCCAGAGAAATCCTGTCTCGAAATAACCACCTTCCCCCCCCCCCAAAAAAAAAAAAACATTTCTAATTTTTTCTCATTCTCCTCACTCCAGAAGAGCTGGTGTTCTTACTTCAATATTCTATTATTAACTCTAAAGTAATAAAAAAAACACACAAAAAGCTTATGGAAAAGTGTTTTAATTAAGACCTTACAATCAAATCTTTAAAAAGACTTGTGTATTGTTTATTTTAAATATGACTGGATTCTCAAGCATTTTCGGAGGTTTCCAGCATGGAAGTTAATTCTAAATTATCTCCCTGCCTTACAGCTTGCCCCATATTAGCTCCTAGGATAGGAAAAAGTTAAGATCAATGTGTTAAAAATTTAATAGATTCAAAAAGTATTCACCATCTTTTTAAAAGGAGAAAAATTGAACCCTAAACATTAGGGACTCGGGGGACGAGGGGGTCACAACCCAGCCATACTGTCGTGTGTCATGTATGGACACTGAATGTTCTCCAAAGTCCTGGTCATTTGTGCTCTGTGTAAAAAAGAATGCCACAACACGCCCAGCGCAGCCCTTCACTGCCTCAGCCCGCACTTCTGCGAGGATGAAAAAGGAAGCCTGTCTGTCTTCTAGGCCAGTCTGAAGGCCAGGGTGTGCCCTCGTCACACACACCTGTCTTTCTGGGGTTGGAAGGTGCAGTCTTATGATGTCGGCCTGGGTGGGGAATGCAGGCCTTCAAGGCTCACCCTGGGCCACTGTCCCCGTCGCCTGACTCTGTGACGATTGGGGACTATATGGTTAACATGTTATCGCTAGCTCAGCTGCACTTGGATAGCTCGTAGACCTTACTCTTTAGTTAAATACACACCTCAGTAGAGGGCTCTGTACACGGGAGCTGTACAAAACTAGGCAAATATTTTTAAAGTTTTTTTTAAAAAACACTCCTGATTCCTCAGTATGCCTTTTGAAAGCTTAATGCGATTTTCAGATGACCCTGTAAGGACAATTTCACATGGAACGGGATCAGTCTGCATTCTAGAAACTATCATACTCAGAAACCCAGAGTAAAAATATGGAAATGCTCATCTGCACGCACGGCACTGGGTTTTACCCAACAAACTCAGATGCTGAGTGGGGTGGGCAAAAGATGCCCGTCCGTCAGGAAGGATGGAGGGAGGGGTTCTTCCTTCTCGGAGCCTCTTCTGCAGGTGGGGAAGGCACCCATCTCATGGAAACCTGTTTTTCAAACCTTTTCTTTTTTAACCCTGACAGTGGTTCCCTAGAGCCAGGCCAGCCCTGTTCTCCCAGTTTGGCAGCAAAGATCATTAGACCGGACATTTCCAACCCCAGCTATCAGCACGGTGCATCATGAAACCTTTACTGTGCTCCCTAGAAGGAAGAGCAGAATGGAGGTGCCGGCGCCCCGATGGTGACGGCAGGTCCCATCCGCACAGGCCGAGCAAACTCAGTTCATTAGCTGTCGTTTCAGATGACAAGTTCTTATCAGCATCGTCCGCTCTCTCAGGAGAGGGAGTCAGTCTTAGCGGCCAACCGTGCCTACCCGGGTAAAAGGGACGGCGGCCCTGGCTCTAGGGCATGTCGTCATTGCCCGAAACATGCCCGCCACTCACCGGTGTGCCAGAACGGGTCAACTACATATGGATCAAATGCCTAGGTGGTGATTTAAGGAGAAAGGGTGACCCTTGCTCTGGCCAGAAACTTCTTCAGTCTCACAGTCTACATGAAGATGCAGTGAAATGCACCCGTGTAGCCTCCGCAGCTGCTGGTGTGGCCGGAGCAGCTCCGATCCCATGCCGATGCCCTCGCTTTCCTGGGCGCTCCCTGCAGGGCAGACTGCACGGATGGGCATGCCCTGCCAGCTGTGGAGTGGGGTCAGAAAGGACAGCAGGAGGGCAGGGACGGGAAACGCCTAGAGCCAGTTAAAGGCATTTGGTGTGGGGGTCTCCTTAGACTAAAATCGTTAAAATAAAACTCTTGCGAGAATGTCAGGCCTTGGGGACTTGTCTTCATAAGCAAGCCAACACATATGGCTTCCATGGTCGGTCCCACTTAAGGCGGGCGACCAACCATCAGGAAAGCAGAGCCGCCTCTCCGAGGGGCCCTGCAGGACAGTTTCTTCCAGCCATGAGCGGCCTCGCTTGACCGCATGAACGCATGGAGAGGAGGTCCGGCAGCTACGCCCTGGCCGAGTAGCAGCGCATGTACTCCGTGAGCCAGGGATTCTCTGCGGGAGGCGGCTTTGCGCTCTGGCTCTTTTCCTCGTCCGCGGAGTGTGCCCGCTGCCTCTGGGCCGCCAGCCTCCTTTTCTCCACCTGTCTTCTGTTCTTGGCTCGAAGGGCTGACTCGTGAATCTAAAGAAAGTTCAGAGATAAAGGTAGTAGCCTAGTAGGTCGGGGCCAACTTTTAAGAATATCAAACTACAAGTCTGGGGCTACTGCTCAGCGCAGCCTGGCACACAGGAAGCCCCAGCCTCTATCCCCAGGCATGGTGGTGCGCACCTGCTGCCCCGGCTCGTGGGGGTAGGAGCACAGGGGTCCTAAGTTCAAAGCCATCCGTGGCTACACAGAAAGCTCGGTGCCAGCCTGGGATGCCCGCTGTTACTAGTCTGGAACCCTGAAGCGAGGAGTCAAGCCCTGCCAGTCTATAGTACCAACGCTTCGCAGAGTAAATTATCGTGTCATCACAATTCACCCTGTTTGCAAGGACGGCAAAGCTGAGCAACAGAAAATTAAACTTCAGAGCTGGAGAGATGGTTCATGGCCAAGAACAAGTACTGTTCTTGCCAAGGACCCGAGTTCAAGTCCCGGAACCCAAGCTAGGCAGCTCACAACCATCTTTAACTCTAGCTCCAAAGGGATCTGATGTCTCTGGCCTTGGAGACACCAGCACTCACATGCACAGACACACAAACTAAAAATAATAAATATTTTAAAAATAGACGTTTAGGGGCTAGAGAGATTAAGAGATTAAGAGCACTGGCTGCTCTTCCAGGGGCCCTGAGCGCAATTCCCAGCAGCCACATGGTGGCTCTCAACCATCTGGCGCCCTCTTCTGGCACACAGGTGTACATGCAGACAGAACGTGCTGTATGTATGTACAGACTGCATACATAATAAATAAATCTTAATCACTCAATCAATAAACCTTTAGGTAGAAATGGCAAGCAGCTAACTTGCATCAATCTAGGACCAGTGTGGAAGAGCTGCTGCTTTTACAGTTTGTTTGTTTATTGAACAGGATCTGGCTTTGAAGTTCTCTGGCCTGGGACTCCCTACATCCTCCTGGCTCTGCCTCCCAAGTACCGAGACTGCAGGTACACCACTACAGCAAGCTCTGGGAAACTGCGGGGACTCTGCCACAGTGAGCATGTAAGAGAGTCTGGTTGTCTATAACGCTTTAAAACACTGAAATGTGGAGGTGCAGGCACGCAAGCCTGTAATCCCAGGACTTCAGAAGAGGATCAGAAGTTCAAGGTCATCCTTGGCTACACCGTGAGTTTCAGGCCTAGCTTGGACTCCCTGAGATCCTGTCTCAAAAATGTACATAGAGTAATAAAGCAAAACAAAATGTGAGAGAGTTTAATCCTGTGACAGACACACACTGCGAAACTGTCCCAGAGACGTGTCAGAACCCTGTTAGTGACAGCCTGTCTCAGCGTCCACCTCACACGCACAGCATCTGCCACCTGGACGCTGCTCCGGGAACTCGCCTGGCATCACAGGGGAAAAGGAGTCTGCGGTTCTCTTCCTGCCTGTTCCTAAGGCATCCCTGGCACTCAGCTGGTGCTAGCACACTAGTTACACATGAACACGTGGACATGGCTACAACTGAGGGTCCTCACGTCTAATGTCTCAGGTCTTGATGGAATGACAAACCAAGGCTGAGCACGATGACTGGAGCTCATGGGACCAAAACACTATTGCAGGGGCTGGAGAGGTGGCCCAGTGGTTAGAGCACTGGCCGCTCTTCCAGAGGACCTGGGTTCAAGTCCCAGCACCCACATGTCAGCTCACAGCTGTCTGTAACTCCGCTCCAGGGCATGAGACACCCTCACAGAGACATACATGCAGGCCACACCGGTGCACATAAAATGAGAAACATTCGTAATTAAAACCACCACCAACAACACTGTTGCGGACAAACAGGAAATCAATGAGCTGAGTCTCATCGGAAGGGAAAATGGAGGTCCCCAGTAGATTCCAAGCAGTCGGACGTGCCAAGGAGAAAGCCTTTGGCCAAGGACAGCAGCTTACCAAAGCGGAGAGCTCTCCAGGTGGCCCAGACCACAGAAGCCACAAGGACCTGGACCCCCCTGTCAGCAGACCCGAGCCCAGCTGTACCCCAGGATACCAAAGTCTGCTCCATCTTCCTAGGACCAGAGCCCCCTTCTTTTGTCTTCCATGGACCCCACACCACCCAAGGAGCTTCCACGGCCCAGCGCATGGACAGCCTCGGGAGCAGCGGCCCGAGGTCAGGGCGCACCTCATGGACAGAGGCTGAGGCGCAGACGTTGTGTGTCTTCTGGTTCCCCGTGTCCGTCCGTTTCTCTCCCCAGCCATAAAGGGCAAACGGGTGCTTCTTCTCTTTTATTTTGCTGGTTGACTTTTGGGGGCTTCCGGGGGCTTTCTTACTTCCTTTGGCAAATAAGACACCAGGATGCTGTCGGGGTTCTGGGCTGCTGGCCGCCCTGTCAGCCTCTTTTGTCCCAGCTTGCTGTTCGGGTTTCTCATCTATGCCTTTTACTGGCGATGCTTTTGAAAAAAGGGGATGAGACAAGATAGAAATACTTTGAATCAAGTTTTTATACAATTAATTTAATTAAAAAATAAAAATCTTATCGGGTCATTTACATGTTAACATGGCTTCATCTTGCACGTTTTACTTAAATCAAGTGATGGAAACAATTTTTGGTTTTTTGTTTTATTTTGTATTGTGTTTTTTGTTTGTTTGTTTTCCGTGTTTTGAGACAGGGTTTCTCTGTGTAACTCTGGCTGTCCTGGACTCGCTTTGTAGACCAGGCTGGCCTTGAACTCACAGTGATCTGCCTGCCTTGGCCTCCTGAGTGCTAGGACTAAAGGCATGTACCACCATGTCCAGCTTAGAAAAAAAAAATAGTAAAATAACTGTTAAAGCATTTATCCTGTTTTTAAAAACTGATGACAAAGGTATCAACATTAAGCCAAAACAATTCCCAAACAACCTCGATGGCCACCCTTAGGATTCACTGTCACCCCAACAAATGAGTGTGTGCACCTTGGGAGCTCAGGCCACAGGCCCATCTGTGCATGTCCTCGGGGGGTGGGTGAGGCCGACCTTGGAGTCCGACTCTTCTTCCTTTCTGATGCACATTGATGTGGAAAACCTCCTTGAAGAGGTGGCCGTCCACCAGAGTGGAAGGGCCCTTGCCACAACAAGATATGGCCACCACCACCCCTCGCCTGAAGGCAGCCCTCTACAGCGTAGGCCCAGTGCTGAATGGCAAGAGATGTTGGAAGGAAGTGACCTCATGAGTCAGGTTGTGCTTGGACGGGTAAGGTCATCATCTGGTCCCAGCAGGGGTGCGGTTTTGGGGGGTTGTGTGGTCTTGATTGAGGAGGCGAGTCGCCACAGAATGAGTATATTACAGGCTAGAGCTTGAGCCCAGTTGTGATCTGGTTTCTGTTTCCTGCACCATCAAGATGGAAGCAAGCAGCTTCACCTTAGGTGCCATAACCTCTGCCATACCTTCCCCATCGTGATGGACCCTGTCCAGACAGTCAAGAGAAACCTTCCCCATCACGATGGACCATGTCCAGACAGTCAAGAGAAACCTTCCTGCCTTCAGTGATTACTTATCAGGTATCTGGTCACAGTGATGGGAAAGGTGACAGGCATGGCCTGAGGGGGCCCGAGTGGTGTCAGCAGACTTGGGAAAATGTTGTTTCCAAACCTGTTGAAGTATGAAGGAACACTCCAGAACATCTCCATTTTCCTTACCCAGCTTTTGGGATTTTTGACATTTTAATACCACCATCTTTTTTTTTTTTTTCTTTTGCATAAATCCTTCCTGAGCCCATTTCCTTCCACCTACACACACTGGAATATGAGCTCCGCATGAATCAGCCATTGCTCAGGCATCGCACCCCCTCCATCAGCTGCTCCAGCTTGGCTCTTCCTGACAACGTCACAGACTGCTGTTGCAAAGCTGCGTCCCCCTCAGAGGACAGACCCTCGGCCCTGCTGCCCTCGAAGGGCATCTGTTTCATCTTCATGCCTGTGATCCTGCCAGGGTGCGCGGATTGAAGGAAACCTTTACTTACCTCTGCCCTAGATGTTTTAGCTCTGACAACTCATTCATTTTACTGAGCGTCTATACACCGCATGGCAGAAGCCAAGCCCTAGAACCCAGGCTGCGATCCCAGCGGGGACCTTCACAGTGAAGGGACGCCGGCTTCGGCTCAGGAACTTGAGTCCGCTCACCCAAGTGCTTTTCTGCATGCTGTACCCAGACCCTGCCTCACCTTAGTGTAGGAGGAGGGAGAGAAGAAACCTCAGAGGTGACGAGAAAGAGTGGCCTGCGGCAGGGCCGTGCAGATCGAGGAACTGTGCAGAGACTGAGGTTTGGGTCCCTTCTCTTCCCCTCTAGCTCTCCCAGGGCAGCCCATCCAGACAGGACCATAACGCCCTTCTTAGGACCAGAGGGGGAATGTTCACTGAAGGGGAAGAGGGAATAATAAACAGTTCTAAGGACATTGTCTCCAGGCCGGGAGCAGGTGGCACTAGGGAAATAGAGCTTTCTGTGCCAAACTTGGATTGGAGGTGGGGGTGATTATACCCTAGGAATCACAGGGAATTGTGGACTTGAAGCTTAGAAATAGCGTGACCCTGTCTATATTTTAAGATGGGTTGGATAAGAGAATAGGGCCAAGGGCCTGGCAGGAAAGGCTGACAGCGGACGAGGGTAAACAGACACACTGGCATCATGCTGGCATTGGGGGAGGGAGGTGGGGGCAGAAGAACCTGATTGGTCTCCACAGATGCTCTAAGCAGATGGCCCTCCTACCCACAGCCCAGGCAGCCCAGGCAGGAAGGAGGGAACTGTAGAGGAGGAAGCCACCAGGCAGGCTGACAGGGGACATCCACAGGCGCCCTGAGAGGGAAGGCAGAGCCAGACCGGGGTCTGAGTGCACAGCTCCGCCCAGGAGAAGCATAAAAAGCTACAGCGCTGGGACAGAGAACGAACCCAAGAGTGGGCCAAAGGGGGGATGTCTGGAAAAGCAAAAAGAAACCTGAAGAAAACCTAAGGAAGAGCCACACTCCACAGAAGGCTGAAACCACGTGACTTATCAGAGAGGGGGGGCAGGGCGGGTGCTAGGGGCGGGACCTGAGGGTCAGGGATCAAGCCAGGCAGCAGAGCAGCGGAGACAACTCCGCTGAGCTGCTGGAGCCAAAACAGCACACTGAGGTACAAAGGTCATGGCCCACAGGACCTATGCAGGACCCCGGAGTCCAAATAACTCCTGCAAATAATTTTCACACACAATTACCACAGTTGTCACATAGCCCAGCACCAGCTGGAGCACGAGACGAGACACTTAAGCGATCATCCACAGCCTGTGAAATAACGGTGCTAACACCCTGTGCTTAAGAAGATAATGCTTGAAAATTACGCCCCGCAAGAGACAAAAGACGGACAGAACAGAAGAGACAGAACATAGCACTGTAATTTTAATATTTATAAAACACTCAAAATCATGCCTGCCATGTGGTAATTAGATATAAGTATATGCTTTTAAGATCCTATTTGAAAGAATGATGTTCAAAATAAGGGCATTTTCAGGCAAACAAAAACTTCATTTCCCACAAGAGATGGGAAGATTCCAATGTTTCTCTCACCAACCAAGAGAACAGCCAAATTCAGATAAATCCAGTCTTTAGGATGGAGCTGACCAATGCAATAGCCTGTGGTCTCGTGTGGCTACCAAAAATAAATTCAAGTAAATAAAATGAGATGACTGTGCTCCACTGCTGGGCATGTCACCACCAACCATTCAGTAATACCCTGGCAGGTGCTATAAAGAATGTGTCTACTACCTCGGAGCTGTTTTCAAGAGCCTGGTGAGAGGAGGAAGAGCAGACGACAAGTATTGCAGGACAAATGACCCGGGGGGGGGAGCTGGTGCAAGGGCTGCAGAACACAGGCAAGCTTTCCACATCCAAAGTCTAAGGGGAATCTTCACACGTCTACAGATCTGGACTTACAGAGACTGAAGTTACACAGAGCACGCTCTCTCGGCCACTGGGAAAGTGAAGCTACATACTCTAACTTTGGGTTCTCTTTCATTTTGAGCTCAGTGCGATGGCCAGCACTCGGAGGCCCAGCACTAGGCAGGCGGAGATAAGAGCATTGCTGTGTGTGTCAGATCACTCTGAGTTCAGGAACACACTGAGTTCTTGGGACATGCTAATTACATGCAGGCATCTGCTTTTAAATCCTGTTTGAACAAAATGTTTACAGAGTGAAGCCCAGTCTCAAAACGCCAACAACAGGAATTTCCATTTTTGAAATTTACAAACACACATAGGGACTGAAATGGCTACGTGGGTACGAGTACTCAGGATGTAAGCCTGAGTCCATGAGTTCAGATCCCAGCACACAAAGAGTCGGTGTCACAGGGTGCACCCGTGGCCCCAGCGCTGGGGCTCGGGTCAGGTGGTGAAAAGGGGATCGCTGCTGCAGCTCGCTGGGCACCAGCCCTGTGCCATGTTCACTGGGAGAGCCTGTCTCGGGAATAAGTAGACGGTGGGAAAGCAGGACACTGAGACACACACACAAACAGAAAAAACATGTTTAAACAAGTTTGAAACTAAAACCTACGGTTGTAAAGCACACGAAACGCTTAGTGCCAGGGATTGGGCGTCTCTAAGAAGGTCACAATGGGAAACTTTGTGTTCTATACATTTCACCACAAGTTAAAGTTGTTGTAATCACACCTGGGAGATTAAAGCAGAGCAATGGAGGAGTTCAAGATCACCTCAGCCGTCTACTAACCCTGAGGCCAACTTGGGTTATGCTGTAGCAGAAGCCTGTAATCCCAGAGTGGAGGTCATCAATGGAGAACTCCAGATCAAGGTCAGCTTGGGCTATGCATGTGGTAAGATTCTCTCGCCAGCTCTGGCAGTCCCGGACTTATTTTTGTAGATCAGGCTGGCCTCGAAGTCAAAGAGGTCTGCCTCCCTAAGTGCTGGGATTAAAGGCATGCGCCACCATGCCTAGCTGTAAAAATCCTCTCTTAAAAACAAAACTGGAGAAAGGTAGCTTTAATCCCAGCACTCAGGAGGGAGAGGCAGGGGGATCCCTGTGAGTTCGAGGCCAGCATGGTCTACAAAGCAAATCCAGGACAGCCAGAGCTACACAGAGAAACCCTGTCTGAAAAAACAAAACAAAACAAAACAAAAAACCCCAAAACAAAAAACAAACAAACAAAAAAGGAACAACAAAAACAGATCTGGGCATGGTGGTCCATGAGGTGCAGAGTTCTCAGATGGCCAGGGAGGTGGACTTCCTTAGCAAAGGCTCACCACCACCAGGCCCCACCCCACACCCTTCTGAAAAGCAATGGACACATCTCCACTGAGAACCAAGTTAGGGTGCCCCCAACTCCAGGCTTGAGCAGACTTCTGTAACTTCTTTTTTGTTGCTATTTTGGTTTTTTGAGACAGGGTTTTCTATGCAGCCTTGGCTGCCATGAAGCTCACTCTGTAGAGCAAC